TCTTCTTGTGGAGAAGCCTCGCTTATAATTCATAAAAATTCCTTTAGAGGCCCACACACGATGCCGCTGACGATGACAATGTGGACGATGACAAACCGCAGACAAAGCGGGTAACAGGATGTGCTTGGGCGAAGTTTCGCTAAAGCAGCTCCTTCAATTGACAGACCCGAGTGGTCCGACCGCGGAGGAGGGCATGCGGGACACGTTTGACAGCCAGACGAGAGATCCGCTTTGATGGCCCAAACCCCTCTCCCATGGGGAATGCCTTTGAAGCCTTTAGGAATTCGGAAAGGTAGGCAGTGCACTTCCCCAGAGATAAGTGCCTCTGTATGATCTTGTCGCGAATTTAATCGATGGCATTGTATTATTTTTGGATGCAGATAACGAGAGAATAAATGTTCTCAAGGGTTTTTAGTTAAAGAAAACGAGGAAGGGTACTAACTGCTAACTTCATTAATTTTTGCTCGTAATTATATCGATTCTCCATTTCGGTGATTGCTCCCAAGGCACTCCGTTAGAGATCGCTGCTCGTAAAGGACTACTCCTTCTCCAGTTTTCCTCTGGGTAACTGCTGTCAATATCCTTGCGCTTCCTCGTTTTCCACTTCCTGTTTGCCTAACTGACATGTGACGACTGTCGGGCTGGCACTTCAGCGCCCACATCTCCAGCTCCAGCGTTGTCCTCTCATATTCCCGTTGCTACGACTGGAACCCCTTGCCGAGCGAGCACTTTACTCGCCACTTATCATGCATAAATTCTTGAATTTGCCGCATTCTTTTCAAAAAACTCAACTAATTTGATCCCCAGGCGCTGCTTGAGCCTGTCAGGACCCATTCTCCTTCCACATTTGCCCTTTGCAACCCATCTCTGCTGCTGGTACAGCGCCTGCCTTGCCCTTCTCACGCTCCACTGCCCCGTTGTGATTTCCTCAGCTCACCAAAGCGTGAAACATTTTTTCGCAACCTTGCGACCTCACACGCCTCCCACTCCCCCACAGGCACTCACACTGGCATAGAAATTCAATATTGCTTCTCTATGTCTATGCTAATGAATGGCTCGCGAAGGAGACCAAAGCGAGACGACGAGGAAAAGCTCCGCAGAGAGAGAGAGAAAGGGAGGGGACGTGGCATGGTGGGCAGGACAAAAGGTGGCAGCTCTTCTCTTCCTTCCGTCTATTTATTTTTCCGGCTTCCTGTGCTCCGCTTCTCTGCTGCCTTTTTGCGGTTTGACGCAGCAACTAAAAGTATGCAACACTTTTTTCGCATGTTGCTTTTTGCATATTTAATGGCCGACTCGACGACGACGGGGACAGACAAAATGGCGGCGTCGCCTTTTTTCGGTCCTTCTGCCGGGGGTCCTTCCGCCCCCCAACCGCCTCTGCGGTTAGGCGTTGATTTGTGGCCGCTCCGTTTGTTTGTTGTTCCCGCCGCTGTAGCTGTGTCTATTTGTGGTTTCAAAGCGGAGAAGCGGCAGCCCCGGCTGGTACTTCCGCCTCTGATGTGACTTTAATGAACTTGGCTGAATGTTTGCCATTCGAAAATCGATAGGAAGAGGCTTTAAGTGCCCCCGTTCCTGTCTCCTGCCGACGCGCCGCCAGGCCCTTCAAGCGTCTCGCATCGTCGAGGGCTCTTCGAGCCTTCGAGCCTGTCACAATAATAGACAAATGCGTCACGCGGGGAAAGGCAGGCAACTTTTCACCCAGACGACGGGCAAATAAAAAAGTTGTCAACTGTCTTTGGTTTGTGACTGCTATGCAAATTTTTTATTGAAGGCCCGGCTTTAAGAGCAAACAGGGGCAGGGTGGAGCTGCCGCCTGACTGGGTATCGATGGGTCTTCATGGTTGGGGCCTTTGTTCCGTCGGGACTTGACGTCTGTGCTGCTCTTCCGGGTTTTGTCGAGAGGATTTCCTTGGTTCTCTCTTCCCTTTCACCATTAAATCCCTTCTAGTCCACTCAGTACGCAACTAAGCCCCTCTTCTCCTCTAGCTCGAGCCATTATTAAATCATCAAAAGTGTTGGCCATCAAATGTGACAATGGCCGCAGGAGAACCGAGCCGGGAACCGGACCCGTAGCCCCCTCTGGAGGTGGTCCCTGGCCCTGGCTAGAGACGGCTGCCTTGCAACAAAGTTGCTGCTGCCTGTACGTCTGCAATGTCATTTGATTTGATTACAACTGAGGGAAATGCGAGTCGTGGCTGTTGCCTCCGCTCCTGCTGCTGACTCTGATTCTGCTTCTGTTTCTGTTTCTGCTGCTGTTGCAACTGTCTGCGGAGTTGATGGATTATATGACGTTGGCTGTCTGCCGCCTGCGTTGCGGAACCTGCCCGCATGTCGTTGGCTTTGAGGCGACTCCACCCCACTCCGGCCCGCTGCAATCGCAGCCAATTTGTCTAGTCCCAGTCCCAGTCCCAGCCCCATCTTAGTCGCCGCATTTCGCTCCAGCCAGCTGCTGCACCCGATTTAAATGCTTGGCTGTCTCTTGCTTGATTAGCGCCGCTGAATTGACAGAAATTGTCACTAGCAAGGGTCCCCAGTACTCAATCCCCAGCGCCAACACCATCAACAACACCAGTCCAATCCCATCCTGCGCAATCTGCGTCACTTGTTGTGAGTGTGTGCAGAAGTCGCATTAGGCTCCGTACGCCGCCCTTTCAGCAAACTCTGGCTGTGCATTTTTCACTCCAACGTCAATTGCTTAATTGATCAACTTAATTTGACACTGAACAAGATAAATATCTTTCGCTCCCGATTTCCAGCGCAGCAGCTCGCTCGCTTTTGTGTTTCGATTTATGCAAATTGTGTCGGGCCATGTGGCCTACTATATACGATATATACATATACATATGTATGGTGCGCGCTCCAGATTCTTTTCCATGAAAACTGTGCTCCGTCAATTAATCAATTTGGTTGCTGGTATTTTTGCTATTCGACGGATTTTTACTTGTTTGCCTCTCGGCCGCCCTCTCCCTTTCGGGTTAATCAGGAAGTCCGCCCAGCACACACACACAGTTTGATGTTTAAATTTTTAGCGCTCGGCAGCAATTTGTTTTAGTTCTCGAGACTCCCAATCCGGGGCGGCCATAGAAAGTTGCTCCGCGCTCCGTACCGGAGTGGGGGCTGTGGGAATGTGTTGACATTTAAAATGGAAACTTTTTTGATTGATGGCCTCCGCGTCCCTCCATCAGTTGACTAAATTGGACTGCCCGGGAGTGGGAGATTGTGCGGGACTTTAAGAGGAATTAAAGGTCCCGACTGGCCTCGGATTATGGGGACGCTTTAAGAGCCAGCCATTATGTGGCTCTCAACCTGCAACCTGCAATGATCATGAGCAGCACTGGCCGGCCATTAGTCGATAAATCTTTCAGTGACAGCACTAGGAACTGCGGGTAATGCCACTCTTTTGGAGCTAATTGAACGTGTAATTAACTAACTGTACATTTCAATTTATGAAATATTCGCGGCCGATCGAGTGCAGACAAAAGTTGCTCAGGAACCTGGCCGACGGCAAAGCCAGTTCCAAGACGCCGCCAGGTGGTGCAGCATCGAGTGTCACTATTAATTCAACCTACATCGTGTGTCTGCAGCGAGCTGAAACTATGACAGCCAGCATTTTTCAGACATTCCCTGCTCGTGGAGAATTTTTATAATTGCTCCTCGCTGGGCCAGGAGCCAAGAGTCAGAGTCAGAGCCGAAGCTGGAGCTGTAGCAGCCCCTGGACGTTGAAAGATGAGCAATTAAGCGCTGAGTTATCGACAAGAGCATGGAGCAGCACACGTGGGGCAGTGGGTGGGTTAACTGGAGAGGAGCAGCAGCTGCGTGACAAATTACCCCATGACGTAGTCGCTTTTTGCATGCCTGGCAGCCGGATAGGGTTTTCCTTGGCATCCCATTCACATGTAGAGACACACAACAAGCTGCTGGATGGCCACATTTATTAGATGGAAATCAGCAGTGAGACAGAGTGGGAGCTTGCATCTTGTAACCTGAGCGGGTTCCTTATGGCGCACACCTGGCACCAGCAGGACAATGAAGTCTGGAGTGGCAAGCTGCTACCTCTGTTCCCTCCCTCTTCAGTCCCTTGTCGCTTCTAATTAGTTTTACTTGAGCTTGCCGCCGCCGCCTCTTCTACTTCCCAACTCATTAAAATTAAAAGACATCAAAAGAAATTTTGCAAACTAAACACAAACATAGAGCCTAGAATGTCCTTTTGCCGCCTGACTAACCGGGCGGGCGGGTGTGTTTCATCATATCTCATCCTTTTTGCGCCGCACCTTTGGTCCCTTTTTACCACTCCGCTGCACGCTTTGCATAAGCTAAATACGTTTCTCGTGGAGCTTCTGCCTTAAATTGCTCCACCAGCTGGCGTCGGTTCTATGCTCCGGTTTTCCCTGGCCATCCGGCGTTAAGTTAGAGCGCAAACTGGCTTAGTCGCCGGTGAATGGATAACCAGCCGGAGGAGGGGCATTCAGGGGGGGAGGCGAGATGTTTGCTTTGGCCGCTTTCTACGGCATCTTTGCCAGCTCCCGGCTCCTCGCACATGTCTGCCCCTGCAGAAATTGTTGCAAAATAATGCTAAATGAAAAGCACAAAGTCATCCTCCGGCTCTCCGGCCCCCGGCTGTTGCTCGTCACGCACATTCACTTTGTATTCATTCAGGCCAGAGACGGCCAGGGAAAAGTCAACGAAGACGGAGCCAGAGACGGAGACGGAGACGATGACGATGACGACAGGCTGCTGCATATTCTGCTGGCTTTTGGCTTATCCGGCGTCAATTAAGTTTCCGATTCGTTCGCAGTTAAAGCATAGTGATGCGATAACGAAGTGTACTTTCTGCCTGACCAGACAGCAGTCGCAGGTTGGGTCGCAATGTGGGTTAGCTGGGTGGGTTTTTAGACAGAGGTGACCACACTCACTTCATCTTCTTCTATCACACTTTATTCAGTTTAAAGCTCTATTTAACTAACTGTTTCTAACTAAAATGATACTCTTTGCTCTTACAGATCTCACTGCCACCTTAAAGTCACCACAATGAAGCGCACGTCGCCTAGTGAAGCGACCACGAACAGCAGCAGCATCATGTTCTCCCGCCAGTGCCTTTCCCACCCGCCCCGCTCACCACCCACAGCCTCTGCCCAGCGCCGCTTGAGGCCCTCCACCCGCTCCACAGCCCCCATGGCCTCCACTCGATGGACGCTTAGTCTCTGGGCGCTGGTGATCGCCAGTGGCTGCTCAATGCTCAACACGCCGACAGCGGCAGCCTTCGATATTGGTAAGTGGAAGGGCGAGATGAATTGATTTAATAAGCGAGTCGAGAAGTCAAAGAGTGGGGTCAGAGAGTCAGAATGGCCAACCCCACGAATCAATCATGACGCTTGTCTAGGTCGCCCGAGGGGAAGTCCGAGAGCCCGCTCGTACTTGGCTAAATCTATTTTAATTGACATTGAAAGCTATTTTTATGTGGCCCATCATTTCGCCGGCCAGTGACAGGCAACTCAGTTGGGGCTCTGCAACCAGAAGAGTGCGCCGCAGGGTGCCTCTCGTCCGGACATGTTGCAGCCTGGCTCGTCCTCGTCCCCACATGGCTCTGGGCCTTCTGGCTCTGGCTTAACGTGGCCTTAGCTCCAGCTCATTAATATGCATATTGACATTTTTATGCCGTCTCTAAAGCGAGAGCCAGTACCCGGTAGTAGGGGAGAACGCTTTAATGAAGCCATAGCAACGCGGCTTAGGATTATGGCCAATTTCAATGGCCATGGCATGTCAGCGGTTCATAAATTCAATGCGATTTGTATGAGGCTTCTCTGGCGCGACAACACAGGGCTCCCAGGGGTGGTCTATCCAAGAATTGGGGGAATCATTTTGGTTCGCAGGGGGATGTTACATTAGAATGGGGAGTACATAAACTCGGCCATTCAGAGGCCAGTGGACTGGAAGGGCCTGGCTTATTGATTTCCGAAATGAATTCCATTGGCATAATTTTTTCGGATGAGAAAAAGAGTGAATGACGTACGCTAAGCAGTGTTTTACCAGGCAAAACTTTGTGAATATATTTTTTTAGCCGGATTGCCGTCTCGGCGAACTCATATAAAGTCATTCCACTGGCGTCTTCATCTGTCACAATAGCCCCTCAGCCTGCCTGCCTCCCACAGACGTCAAATCCCTCTGCCATAATATTTATAGTTAATCAAGCAAGCCAAATACATAAATACAAATCTATAAACATGTTCATTTCGGATGCCTCCGCACGAGGACTCAAAGCCCGAAGAAGGACAGGACAGACTGCTGCTGTTGTTGCCCTGGCAATATTTGCACTTAGCCCCTGCCCCGCCCGAAGAGCAAACACATGCCAAAGGAGCTCTCTGCCGATGTGATGTTGTTGCTGGGGCTAGACACATCGGAGCGAGTTGAGTTAGCAAAACATGCAACAATTTTCCAAGCGACTGCACTGGCAATATGCAGTGAGTGCACTGTCGCAGTCACAGCCGGCTCCGGGGGTGAGCTGTTGGTGTACTCGAGATCTCGGGTCTGCTGGCTTTTGACCCAGCCAGGCCTGGACCCTGGGGTCTCAGTGGCTTTAGCTTGGGCAACTGTCAAGCCCAATCAAGTGCGAAGGCAACAGAGATGGAAAATATCGACCAAGAAAAGTATAAATATAACATTCTTACTCATAATTGGATAGGTTTTCTATAAGTAATTTAATTTAATGAAAAACATGCAAGGTTTCATTGGAGTAAGTATTTTTTTTACAAGTTTTAAATATCCAAATATGTATATGAAAAATTAAATAGATGAAAATAATTCTGTAGCAAACTCTTTAAGATTTTCAATTGATGCTGAAATCCTTCACTTAGCTACAAACACATCTCTGAATCACGAACTGGAACTTGCTCAGCATCCGCATCCACAAGCTCAATTTGAATTGGTTGGCTGACTGCCACCCAAGCTCCCCTCCTGCTCCTTCTCCCTCCTTATAAACTGGCCCGTGTGTGTGTGTTTATTTATAAACTTCTAAACGAATGCACGCACCTTGGAGTGGTGGAGATCAAAAGTGGGATTGGTCCATAGAGGGCCTGCTGGGCCGGGGCAACAAAAGTCATGTCAAATCAGTGTTGATTCTGGCGAAAATGTCAGCAGGCGACTGTCAGACGTGGAGGCTGCTCCTTCCATTTCAAAGGCAAAGCGAAGGAGCAGTTGCAATTGGTAGGCAATAAATTAAGCAAAGTAGTTGACGTTCTGGCAGTCAGTCAGGAGTTGACTTTGGCAAATGACGGGGACCCATACTAACTTTAATATGAAACGCTGGGCGGAGTCTCAGTCTCTCTCCCGGCAGATGTCAAGGAATTCAAACTGACGCTCGACTTATTTTGATAGATTCGATGGATGTTGTGGGGAGGCGGCTGCAGTCCGCTTTCATGTGCCTTCCATCGTAATTAATTAACGCTCGCTTCATTTTTCGAAATTAAAAATCTACCATATTTTCCATTTTTCCTTTTTTTTCAGCCACATGCAATGTGCCCCTGGGCATGGAGTCGTTGGCCATAACAGATGCTCAAATCACAGCGAGCTCAGCCCACGATACGGGCTTCGTTGGTCCCCAACATGCAAGGTAAGTTCTGGTGAAATCGGAGTAAATATATAGGTATTCCTCTCTAACTATAGAGATTAACTTTGCAATATAAACTGTACACGATCTATTGTTTACCTAAAAACACGGGTCTTAAAGCGAACTACCAAATCAGGGGGCATTCAAAGGCCCGCGTAGACCACCAATCAATATCTCCTGAGATCAGCGCTAAAGATTTGAGGCCAGGCGAAGCTTTTATGACCGCTCGGTCCGCCTCATCCGGCTCATTAACCATTTAACCCCAGGCTGCCCCCACGAAAGCGATGGGGCTTATCTGCAATGCCGCTGGCCGGCGTGTTCATTTAATTGCTAATTTTATAGACAACTTCATTAGCCGATAAGACGTAGTCAATAAAATCGAAAACTTTGGCCACCGCTCTGACAACGAAATTTATGTTATGACACAAACAGTTAGATCGTGAAAAAATACCAAATCCCCCAGAAACAAAACGGCGGAGATAAACAACTTCAATAAATATCGGCGGAGCCCGTTTTGCATATCTCTCGAGCAGCGTAGAAAATATTTGGTGTTCGGCTAGCGCCCTTTAGGGCTATTTGGGATCTATCTAGCTGTCCATGAATATGCAAGCAGAGCGACCTGGCAGCCGTTCAATGGATGTGACAGTCGGAGAAATAGTCGGCAGCCGGCTAATTAAATGCCATTTCTGAAATGCACAAACTGGTTATCCCCTGCCCCTCGGATCAAAGAGTTCAAGCGGGTTTGAACTGAAGTCGCAAGGGGATCTCTGGCAGGCCTTTAGTTTTATTTGGTTTTCTCCGCCTTTGTTTACGTTTTATTGACGCATTTTCGTTTGAATTAAAGTTTATGAGAGCTCTTGAGCGGCGGACAGGAAGCTCGAGGTGGGGCAATGCGGGCAATTGTGAGATTGAAGCGGAAGTTTCGCAATTGCACGCCGTGGCCATGATGGATGACACCATCAGCATCCGAGTTCTGAGACGGGCCACTGGTGGGGGAGTCCATTCTGGGCTATAAACATGTCAATTACCACGTGAGTTACGGGCCAGAAATCAATGCAGACACACTCGAAGATCCGTTCTTGGCCTTTCTTCATTTCGCTGCCCGTAATAATTTGCTGTCTGCCTTTATGGACATGCACTTAAAAAACACTCAAGTGCAGGGCAGACTGACAACCGAAGCAACAGCACAGCACCAGCACCTCCACCTCCACCACCACCACCACAAAGGCATCATTAACATTAACCCTTTATGGCGGCACTAAAGTAAAACCACAAAAACGACGCGTGATGAGCACGTCGCAGATAAACAAAATACATTTTGTCTGGTTGCTCCCCTGCTCCTGCTCCCACAGTGCCCGATTAACCGGAATTTATACTAAAGACTCGACGGAAGAAAAGCTAAAACAAAGGGCTGGGGAAGGGGAATCGAGATCGGGACTTGCAACTAACATTTGATGTGCTTGCAATGCGGGCAGTCTCTTTGGCCAAAGGCTGAGCCAACCAGAAGAGCCACCTGAGAAAGTCTCGTCTCTTTCTGTTATTTCTGTGTGATTCACTCCATGGAGCCCAGGAGATCGTCTTGGATCTGGCCTTTTTGATCTGACTTTGCGAATCGTCGTGGGATGCTGGCAGTCGTTTCGGGAACCACCAAGTGGCTCGGATTGACAGGCGATGTGTGGCTGCAATTCCTGAGCGACTAAGTGACTGTGGAGTTAATGGCAAGCGAAATGGATTCTCGGCAGATGTATATATCAAGTAGGGAGGAGTTGGAGTTGAAGTATTCTCTCCTCAGAGCTCTACTTGAGAGGTTCTGGGCAAAACTTTTCCGCGATTCCACCTTAAACTAATTTCGCCTTGGTGACCAGGGACTTAACCCACTGCCACAGACAGGCAAAAACTGCTAAAACTCTGAAGCACTGGCAACTTTCTTCTTTTGTCTTTCGATTCCCTCCCCCGAAGACTCCGCGGCGGGTCCAATCAGGCGAGCTGCAATTTGCTTAGCCGAAAGTTCCACGGAGCCCCAGCCAACCCCAGCAAAGTTCAAAAGTGCAGGCAGCATTATAATTTGCGGCTGCCGCGCACTTACCTAACTAGACTAACTAGCCCGAAAACGAAGAGTTCCGCGGAAACCCATTTCGGGACAGGGGCAGAGGCCCCTTCATTCGAGGGAGCCCTCGGGATGTCATGGGATGAGGACGACTGCGATGGTTAGTGGCCCCGTCTGGGGCTATTGAATTACGGAGATTAGTTTAATGACAGCTGGCGCTGTTTGATTTTCATTACCTCGCCCATCGTCCGCAACCGTCAGGCCATTAAATTTACAACCTTTTACATATTACAAACAACGAGAGGAGAGAAAAAATGCGAGACCTCCTCCTCCGTCGTCCGATTAGAAGCCGTAGCTCGAGAGGACCGGCACCAGGACCACGGTCAGGCAGTTAGCCAGTCCATCAGCCGCTGGAAATGAGCAGCCGACGATGGCGCAGATTGTTAACTTTGGCAATAACAATAATTAAAGTCAAGTTGAAATGCACATAACTGCGGATATTAGCATTTTAAATGATGTTTGTCCGCTCCTTGCTCCTTGCTCCCTGCTCTTGCGTATCTCGTTTCGCCTGGCCTCCGGCTATTTGCTCTGCTCCGGCTACCGAAAGGAGAGGAAGTGGAGGAACCTAAGCAATTTTATGAAGATTAAATTGACCTTTTTTGCCCGGCTGTGGGAGCGCTCTTATTAGGATTTTCCAGAGCCATCTCCGATGAAGCCACTTTGATCTATGCACTTGAGCGTAATTGCAGTCGGTAATGAATATTGCAGAGTGGCCAAGGATGCTAATTTGGCTGGATTCTGTGAAGCACTTTAGATTCGGACTAGGTCGAAAGTGTGCTCGAGGAATTAATTGGATAATTCGGTACTCCATCACTGGCCTTGGCCAGCATCAGCAGTGCCTCTAAACGATGTCTCAATTCACGCAGAGGCGCATTACAAATGGCCCTCGCCGCAGGCCGGGGCGGGGACATGGACATTATTAACGAATTCCGCGGGAGCATGCATTAGCATAAGGCCCCGAGTTGGCCACTAGATAAATATCGCAATCGAATTCAATTCCAATAACCCGCTGGCAGCACAGCCACCGACCGACCGAATGAAGCAATTTGCCAGGGAGCCAACCAAGAAAGGAGTCGAGATGGACTTGACTGCGCTCCGATCGCGGTTAGGTGAATCCAGGCCTAGTCGCTGCTAGCCGCTTGCAGGCCCCTGAGTAATTGCCGGACATTAAGGCGGCTAAAACGCAATCAAGCATGTAAAACTTAATTGAAATATAAACCGAAAAGCGGCGAGGGAGTGGTTAACAACATATCAATGCCCTCGATGTGGCGATGCGACGACTTCCAGCCTCCAGTGGCTGGAAATTGATTAAAGTTAGGCCAAGTCCGTCTGGCGTCCGGGTGTAGGTTAAATTAATCCTTAATTACACAGACAACGTCCTGCTGTGTCTAAAACCGCAAACAGCTTAACGAACGAGACGGGCTGCCAGACAGCGCACCACAATCGCCGGGGCGGGGGCTCGATGGTGGGGCTCCGTGCGGTGCCGTACGCTTAGTGTCAATTAATTCATAAGAAATGTATCGGCGACGGGGCCATGCAACTGGTTTTCGCCGCTACCGTTGATGGAGCCTAATTAATTAAGTCCTCCCGGATCCTTCTCCCGTTGCAGACTGAAAACCGATAATAATGGCGGTGCCTGGTGCCCCAAGCACATGGTCTCGAACGCGCTCAAGGAGTATCTGCAGGTGGATCTGCTCCAGACGCATGTCATCACCGCGATCCGCACACAGGGCAGATTCGGCAAGGGCCAGGGCCAGGAGTACACCGAGGCCTACGTCCTCGAGTACTGGCGGCCGGGCTTTGACAAGTGGCAGCGCTGGAAGAACATTCAGGGCAAGGAGGTAGGTGCCAGTCGTAGTCTCAGCGGCGAAGTAAGCCCCAACTAAGCCCATTCCCATTCCCCCTTTCTTCTGCAGATTCTTCCAGGCAACATCAACACGTACAGCGAGGTGGAGAACGCCCTGCAGCCGATCATCTTCGCCTCGAAGATACGCATCTATCCTTATGGCCAGTACGACCGCACCGTCTGTCTGCGGGCCGAGATCGTCGGCTGTCCCTGGGAAGGTGAGTAGAGCGGGGAGAATGGGGCACTATCCCAGTGCGATTAGAGCCCGACATGAGCAATGATAGTGCGGAGAGGCTAACAGGGTTTTAGTGTCAGCGCTAATTTATCATCCCGCCGTCCGAGGAGGCATTCTGTTTGCCATTAGAGGCGGCAAAAGCGGCTTAAGTGCTCTCACGACTCGCCATGTGCGAGACTGGAGTACTCTAAATACCTTGAAAGCCAGTTAAAAGATGACTTAAAAGATATATTCGGGGACTTTGAACCAAGTAGAGCTGGGTAAATAAATAAATAATTTAAATACAGATCATGGAATTATATTAAACATGCTTGAAAATGGATAGGATATTTATTGTAGGAGTAATATATAACCGTCGCATTCTGTCGACCTGACTGGACTGCTGCGCCCATGTTTAGAGAACCCGCCACTAAGCTCCCCCAAAACATAATGCTTCTCTTCGCTGCAAAACAAACTGTAGCACATTTCTGGGTTTCTTGCCACGCACCTTGGCTTTGGCTTGTCGAGTTCTCCTCTTGTACTTGAAATATATCGCGTGCAGACAGTGGAAACACATCCCATACCCATATTCAAGCTCTGGTCGGGACTTGACCGAAATCGAAATCCCAGACGACGATAAGCCGGACAGGCTGAAAACTATGTGCCGTCTGAAAGAGCTGGGAAACGGAAAACCAACATTCTTCACTGCGAAAAAAAGGATCAGCAAACTAGAATATGTTTTCTATAATGCTAGGCGAGTGGCTTAGAGAATCTCATTCATTTTTCCAGTGTAAAGTAGCCTGGGTCTTTTTGTGTTGCTCGACTCTTACGTGGTCGATGTTTGCACGCAATTTTCAAGTAGTGCACGAGCCAGGAACAAGTCTGGACAAACAAATTTTTCTATAATTTCCATAGGTGGACTGGAGAGGGCTCCGCTGGCAACGATAACACACAAATCCAGTCAGCAAAACGCGCCTAATGACAATTTGTAGTGCAGGGACTTCGGGGAGCTGGAGCCGGAGACTGGCAGGGGCGCGGAAGTTGAACATTATTCTGTAAATTAACGCGGGGTTTTGGGTCGGGCTTCTGGGAACCGTGGGGCCTGGAGTCGCGCCCAGAACTTTGGCACGCCTCTCCTGGCGGAACCGGGGGGATTTGGGGTTGCAAGGCATGCAAACTGCTGACCGCTCACATTTTGCGGCCATGTCATTTGATTTGCCACGGGGAAGATGGGGAATGCGGGGACTGTGAGCACGGGACTCGACATGGCGCATTTCATATGCAAATTAAACAAGATAAGATGGTGCCCATAGTTGGCCTTAGTGGCTCCGATGGATGGCGGATGGGTCTAGACAAGTGGCTGACTGTGGGCGAGGGGAATCAATAAATCCCATTTATATGGCCGCGTCGATTTCATTTTTTGCCTTATGCCGATCATTAATCCCCCTGAAAGAGCCAAGAATCGAATCATAATTGTTTATAGATTGTGGCCATAAATTTTGGCCACTGGCGGCATTTGAATTCGAATCGATCTGGCTGCACCTACGGGGCAAGGGGACAAATGGGGCCGCACCCAGCAGAAGTGGCACACTCGTAACCCAATAGGGCCCGGGTTGGAGATTATCTCCGACTGTGATTTCAAAAGCGTAGCTAAACTCGGGCTTGTTACGATTTACCAAGGGCTAAGCTCTTGGAATCGAACGAGCAAGAATCGGACGGAGCATAGGGTCTGCGCTGGCTGGAGTGCATTATAAATGCAGCAACTGATTAGCACTAAGCCCGGGATTTATGGCACCCACTGGTATTCAGAGCCAGTAATTTATGGGTATTTTAGGGCATTAGTTCGACCACACTCTCGGCGTTGTGTCGACGCTTTCGGCTCACTGAAGAAGTCGGGCTTGAGGTTGGGAAACCGAAAGTTGAAAGCGCCAGGTGGCCTGGTGGGTGTCGCCGGGAGAGCTGGGGTAGCGAGAGTGTGAAATGGTCTTGAGATTGCTGCCGCTCGTTGGGAAACTTCGGAAAGTGTTTTGTCCACATTTCAGTTTATCTCTCAGCCGCTGTCCCTGCTCCGTCCATCGTGAGTCCTCCTCACTTTGACTCATCAACAAAAAGCGCGTCGACATTGTTGTCGCTGTCGTTGGCTTGCGTGCCGCGTCTGGAAAGGAGGAAAATTACATTTTATGTATTGCAGTTGCTGCTCCACGCACTCCGGCAAGGACTTGCTCTTATTTTGCTCATTTTTCGGCAGCCGGGGAACCATTTCAGACTGTCGCGACACGCAAATAATGATCGCATGCAGGCACGCGAATAACAAGGCGGACAGACAGAGTGTGTGGTGTGTCCCAGACCCCTTTAACCCCACAATGCCCCAGAGTCGTGTGTGTGTGTGTGTGCCACAGCGGGGCAATTGTAAAACGCGCTGCCTTAAATGTCTTTGCAGTTAATTAAATATGCCATATAGCGCTTACAGCCGGTTTAATATCGTGTCGGAGGACTTATCTCTGTGCCCGTGTCCCCCATCCCCAGACCAGTGTCCGCCGTAATTCATGTAATTAAACGCGGTCCGTCCTGCCCGGAGTGCCTTGAATAATAATTAATATTTTCAATCGGAGGACCCGCCCACTCGCGTGATCGATAAATGTCATTTGCCCACCTGAGCGCCGCCTCATCATCATTATCTACATTATCTGCGTCGAGTGCGTGGGATTCGGTTCCATTTCGTGCACGCCCACGGGAGTCCCTTAATTATGTGTAATTATGTGATTTTTGGTAATTATTGGAGCATTCCTTCGACTGTTGTCAGTCCTGCGTAGCGGGAGCGAGTGTGTGTCCTGCCTACACCACGTGCCCCGATTGTGTAAATAGAAATTCTGGTGAATTAGTTAAACGTGTGCTCGGGTCGGCACCGTTTCCCCAACCCCCTTAGGCCGCAATTATATTGAGTGCCTGGCAACCCTGTTGTTTTCCTTTTTTCCAGTCCAAGTGTAATTGTTTTCGGGGGCGGAGTGGTGGTGGAAGGGTGCTCAGTCGGGTAATTAGTGTCAGGTGTTTGCCTGCTGCCGCCAGATTGCTGGGATTTGGGGATGGACTTGAGCGCCGACTGGCCCACTGACATTTTGGATATCCAGGACTGCCACTAATCCCCACGAAGTCTCCGAAAACATCACAACACTTGGGGTGTGGCATACACCCACAAAAACATGACTCACAATCAGCTGCGGCTCTCCGTAGCCCCCCTGGAAATCGTTTAACTTTGACATTGAAAAACTATACCCCAAAAAGTTCCTATCCCCTTTCGATTTTGTGCTAAAAATAACCACGGAAACCGAATGGCAAACGGAGAGGGGGAGCGCCATGGAGGTGGCCACAAAACGAAATTATGTTTCCAGTAATTCAATATCCTCCGACGCTGTCTCTGTCTTTGTTGCCCTCTCTTTCGGTCATTGTCTACCCATCTCACTCCCCGTAAACTAAGTTGTTCCGCTCCGGATTAGGGGAAGGATAGAGTGGAAACTTTAAATTTACCGCAGTTTAAATACCATTCACGGAACAGGAGGGCGCTGTTGTTACACTGAAATATAAGGCTAGCTATTTCCGGTTCTGGTTGTATCTCTAAATGTTAACTTATAAAGAATATTTAAATATTTTCGAAATGGGATAGGAACAGAGATTTCGAATGAGTTAAACAATAAGTTTTTTGCCCCAAGAAATATCATTTAAAACACTAGTTGGCTATTTCGCTCAGTGTACTCATATAAGGCCACAAAACTCTGCATTTTGTCAGTCGTTTGTCTGCATCACTTGACATGGAACGTGACGTGACATGACGTGTGTGTGCATGTGTATCCCAGCCTACCAGCTCCCTCCTCGCTCCTCGTTCCTCCTGGTTCCGTGTCTCATGTTTCGTTATTTTTGGGGTTAAGGTCTCTGTTTCAGTTCCCCGAATTGACGCACTAAATTTCAATGCATTTTCAATTTCCCAACCTTCTCTCTCTTCCGCTTTCCATTCGCAGAGGGCATCATGTCGTACAGCATACCCAAGGGCGTCCAGCGCGGCATGGAGGTGGATCTCTCGGACAAGACCTACGATGGCAACGAGCAGGGCGATCGCTTTGTGGACGGACTCGGTCAGCTGGTCGACGGGCAGAAGGGCAAGGACAACTTCCGCACGGACATCCATGGATTCGGTAAAGGTGAGTACATTTTACAGATGAAAATAATAAGTTATACCATGATCCTGCTTTCGGTTTCACTGGCCTTAAAATCTCTATACCCCCATCTCCAATAATCCCGCTGCAGCTTCCTGCATGCAAAGTTCGTGCTAAAAGGTTTGCCCCTAAAAGCTCAAACTTCGACCATATATTTGGGCCCCATGCAGGCCCGACTAGATTTATGGCAATAGAAAAACTGATTAATATCAAATAATTACAAAAGTTCGCCGACGGAAAAAGCATAAGGCAAGCAACGTCTGACCCCATTCCGCTCGCCGAATGCTCACTTCATTGAACATCGATGGCGCGGATGGGGCAAAGTTTTGGCTTTCGCAAATAATTCGCCTGCACAACACTATAAACAAAAATAATAATAACTTCGGACTATTTGCTGGCGTCGCAGTAAAACTTGCCCGGATACCCAAGAGCTCCGTTCCCGTCCCGCGCCACTTTCCCCGTTGCCAGTGTAAAAATGTAAACATTATGCATATTTGATAATTTATGGCAACACTGGCATTCATTTCCGCCCCAGCGACTGCAAAAGTTCGGGGAATTTGCGAAGCTCGCCAGTTTATTTTTTGCCATTTCGCACATTTTCATCGCCTTCCTACAGTCCTTGGAGCCCTGGCAAATGGCCAATAATCGAAATTATTGAAAACTTTACGCAGGAGCAAAGTTCGGTCAGACAATTAGACATCCCGGTCGCAACTCGAGTCGAGTCGCAAGTCGAGACGGAGTCGTAAACGGAAAGGCAATGCAATGCGATCATGGAGAAAGTTTCCGGCGCATAATTCCGATTCTCGGATTGTCGGATTCCCGACAGCCCCATGTCGCTTCCTTTTTGGCCTTCTTGGTGCTCGGCTTATTTGCATTGTAAGTGGAATCAATATCTGAGCGGTCTGGGGCGTATAATTTCTGCTTACAGCTTGTTTGCCAGCCCCATATAACCACATGGCCTTAGTGGCTGCCAGTTAATATTGCATGACTTATGCAGGGAGAACCCTCTCTTTCCATGGAAGGCAGCCCCTAAGCCCCCACGGACGCCCGAACGCCCGGACGCGTTACCCCACCGAAATTAGGGCCATGCAAACAAAGCAGCAGCAGCAGAAAAAGTGGCTTAAATGTCGCATTGGCCATAATTTCTAGTTATGCGGAGTCTAACCCCGCCCAAAACCATGCCCAGGCCCTCGAGCCCCGAGCGCCTGCCGTGAGCATTTATTTGTTTTCGGGCATTTGGGGAAACTTCACTCCCAAATGTGCCATTGGCCTGCCAGAAAGGGAGGCTTAAATAGCTTTACATGTCAGTCCTCCTCCACAGGGCTGGCTGGCTGGCTGGCGGTGGCTGCTCTATTGATTTTCCCCTCCCCTGGCGGACGTATGAAATGTTCATTTCATTTCATTCTGATGGTTTTTTATTCGTTTCAGGTTATGAATGGATTGGCTGGCGGAATGATACCCCCGGCCTGCTCGGCAAGCCGGTGGAAATCGTCTTTGAATTTGATACGGTTCGCAATTTCAGTGCCATCGTGCTGCACACGAACAATATGTTCACCAAGGATGTCCAGGTGAGTGCCCATCCCTATCGCTATCAAAGGGTTACAGTCAGCTTGGTGGTTGCAAAATGAAAGAAACAAAGAAATCGATATTTATTCAAGGGATTTGTAAGAAAATAAACAATGAAATATAAATAATCTGTATTGATTCTGGAATAAGTTCTTGTGTAAATTCATAGAGAACCTGGGATAAGCTGTGTTTAATTTCTGTCCATTAATTCCCCCTGTTCTTAATTTTTCTCCCAGGTCTTTGTCCATGCCAAGGTATTCTTCAGTATTGGCGGAAGGTACTTCTCCGGAGAACCCGTACAGTTCTCGTATATGCCCGACACTATAATGGATCATGCCCGGGATGTGACCATTAAGCTGCACCATCGGGTTGGCAAATATTTGAAAATCAATTTGTACTTTGCCGTCAAATGGATTATGCTATCGGAGATCAGCTTTATATCCGGTGAGTACGTGAGCGATGTCGGAACGCCGAGATGAATAAAATTGCCAGAAAATTGCATTTACCATGCGAGCGATGTGAATGAGCGAGTAACTCAAGCCGGAGGAAGTGGAATTGCATACGTACAAATGCATTTTTCAGCTTCATTTCACTCTCGAGTGCGCTGGTGCCCTGGGGAGGCAATGCATTACAGTTAACAGGGGGATAAAACCTTTTTCCAACATTTTGGCTAACAACAATGCCGAGAGGAAGGACGGAGGGTGTTTCCACCGGGGACAGCCGGGAGATAAACGGTCAGAGGAGCAAATCCGGCTCTGGCTGGAAAAATATAAAGTCAATAGAATACCCAAGGCCCCTTCTCTCTCTCAGTTTAATGTAAACAATCTGTGACTTAGGGGTAGGGATGTATCCCCGAACCCCTAACTGCAAGCCAGGCAGGCTTTGCACTTCCCAGAACATTTCCTATGAATGTCCCGACATGTCCTGATTAAATTGAACCAAGTGCAAGGCTCAGGCTCAATCCCAGGACATGCTTAGACTATGCAGTCTCCCTTAGATTCTGTGTACAAATTGCCAGATCGGCTGTGAAGCAAGGATCTATTATATTCATTGGAATTTCCGCGGTGAAGTCCCCTCTGAAAATCCTAGGTGTCAAATCAGACTAAGGGATAAAGTCCCCTGACAGGCGGGTTTGATTGATGAGTCAAATAGAGCGTGCCGTATGAATATCGAGAGAGAGGAAGGGAACACGTTTTCCGGGCAGATGGCAGAGGGACTCAGATTAGGGAGGGAAAGCCTTGGTTGCGGAGGTTTAATAGTTTTATAAAGGGAAGTTGATCATAAATCGAATGCAACTGAGATTTTATAGGTCAATTAGAGCTGGAACATGAGGAGAATAAATACGGTAAAGAACACTTAAACCATGTGTTACAGGAAATCTCAAAAACAAAAAATGTCAGGGGAACCTTCACATAATAAAGCTATCAGAAGTCTTTAAGATCTTTGTTCTGTCTTTCCATCCTTACCAATGAGCTCTTAAGGATTTCGTGTGAACCCGGCCGCGAGGAGAATAGCACTCAACTGACGATCAGTAGTCCTGAATAGTTTGCCGCAAGCATTACAAGGCAAAAAAAGTTCAAACAAAGCGGGCAGCAAGAAGCAAGGATAACCAAAAACGAAACCACAATACACCAAAAAACTCCCATGCTGTGTCCCGCTTCCCTGGCAGCAATTACATGACGAGCAAGAAACCAGAAACAGAAAACATCGCCACGAAGCATTTGTCACGCACACAAGCCGAGATGGGACGGGATATATACACTATATAGGATGGCAGGGCGGGGAATCCTATGCTCTGGGGGGTGGAGGTGGAGGCATGGAGGAACCCCAGTGGCAACCAGCTGTTTTTTATACTTTTTTTATGCTGTGCGCCACTCGAGCAAAGGCCTCTAAGAGCGGGTAAGGGTAAGGGTAAACAAAAGAAACGCACGTTCAAAACGACAGGCAGGGCCGCATCTTTCGAGTGGATGCGTATATTTTTATCAGGCACTGTGCGAGTGTATACAGATTTAACCCCAATTTGTGAGATTTGCTCGCGGTGATTGCTGTCGTTGTCGTCACAGTGCCATACACGTTTTTAAAGGTCTCTAAAAATACAATGGCCAAAAACAACAATGGAAGGCTAGCTTAGGGGACCGAAGCCTAAAATACCCTTCAATTGACATAGTTCATAAGATATTTATATAGGATTTGAAGTCAGTTTTTGAGTCGCTTATCTTCAAGGCAAAGTATATTATATACCTACATATAAAGGTTTTTTAAAGAAACAATATTTTCTTCAGGCTATCATCATCTTATCAGATGTAAACTATTAGTATTAAATACCATACCATTTATATATTCAAACCAATGTAGACAGTATACATTATCTACCTTATAGAGTCAAATTTCTGCTAGAAATAATAAACCCTTGGGCTAGGGTATAATGACCGGACTAGGGAAAAACCTACGGGACACACAAAGAGAATTAGTTATAAATGGCAAGCGACAACAACGGCGAGATCTGCGAACTGTGGCAAAGGATATGCGGCATATTCGCCATTACCCCTAGAGTCCCTTCCTCTGGATGTGTGATAAATGTGGCACGAAATATTTTAATTATTTTAAACGTTTTATGGCGACCGCAGAGCGCAGGGAGCGAGCGATGGGAGCGAGATACTCCCGTTTTGCCGGAGGAAAGCACACGGGAAAAAACTCAGCCACCCGAAGGACAATGGCAATGTCGAAACAAAAGCCACCATCCCATCCCATTCTATCCCATCCCGTTCTGTCTAAGGAGCAGGGACATAACTCAAAACAGCAGTCTCAACTCCTCCACTCTACTCTCCGTGCCTTCGTGCCGCCTCCGCCTCCTCTTCCTCGGCGAGTCGCCAAGAACTTCACACAGTAATTACGCCATTTACTGTCTGAAGAAACGGGGTCACCCACTCGAGGAAACGTTTTTTGGCCAGCCTCGGGCACTTCGAGAAAGGCTCTGAGGGGGAGGACAAAAAGTAGGACCCACCCCGAAACATTTCGCTTTGTTATGCCTTCAAGATGTTGGCGAGATAAATGACAACACTTTGCCGTAGCACCGGGCCATATGCCGCAGTGCCAGCAGACTCCAGAGCAACATAAGCCGGGATGGCATTATTTCGAGATCAAAGCGAGCTCTCGCCGAGCGTTGCGAATGGACGAACGAACGAGCGAACGAACGGACAGGTGTGGCAAGGGTCTTGGCTAATAATCAGCCTAAGCCAGGGCAAAGGCCATCCCCGAGAGATGTTTTGAAGCCCAAAGATAGCTGAGCCGTGGGAATGATATGGTCCTGAAGTATGATAGATATGATATGATAGAGAAATTTCTTGTTATATCTGATATGAAGGTGATAATCTTTAAAACATATATGCTGGGAATAAGGCAGAAGATTTCCCGGTTTCCATGTGATTCAATTTCATGTAAGAAAACTCTTAATATACACAGTTCTTCCTGCTCGAGGTTAACTAATTCGATTAGCCCGTTGGAGCGTAACTGCTGTAATAAATGCTCACCCAAGATGTAGGGCTTCCTCTTCCTCCGATCAACCATTCCGAAATCATTAAAAAAAGGGAACTCTATGCATATTCAGAAGACACGCGCCCCGCAGTGACGCCCCTGAAATCAAATCAGACATCTGGTTTTGGGGAGAAGGGAAATGAACACGTTATAGTCCATAAGTAATACGAAAGGAAAAGCGTGGCGAAAAGCAAAACAATTTAAGGCGGAACGAAAGGTGCAAAGAAAGGGAGCCGGCACTGAAAAAAAAACTAATCATTGAAGCGCAGCTGTGCGCGGCAACTTCTGAGAATGGAAGCGGAGTGGAGAGCAAAGAGTGAATTTTAATCTAACCCGTTCCCCGTGTCTCTGTTTCTGTATCCATTTTTCAGTGCCCGCCCTGGGAAATTTCACAGACGAGCAGGAGCAGCGGAGCAACTTGCCTGGTCTGGCGCAGGACACTCGCGAGTATCCGCTGCAGAGCAACGAGTACCAGCACAACCACGGCAAGAATAAGCCCAATGGAGTGGGCGGCTCGGCCGGAGGCCCCGGAGGAGGCGTGGCCTCGGCGGACGGCGAGTCCGGCGGCAACAGCAAGTACAACAACGGACCGCAGTGTGAGTAGCCCAACGAACGAATGATAAATCCAATTAACTGTTCACATTTACATTCACGCTCCGAAAGGGGCCTCTTGTTTTTTTAAGTCTTCGAACGACGGCTAATTATTTAGTTGAACAATATTTACATTTAATTTCGTTTCGACGCCCGCGTTTGTTAATTTAAATTTCAATTTGCCTTTGCTCTTTTCCGCTTCCCTTGCAGTAATTGCGCCACGCCCCATCGATCAGGAGCCGAACGACGCCAACTTCATCGGCGTGGTCATCGTGGTCCTGACCACGATTATCATCCTGCTGGTGGCCATCATCCTGTTCATCGTCTCGCGAACCAAGCGCGCCCGCGGCAGCAACGTCCTCGACGCGTTCCAGTACAGCTTCAACCCGAACACCCTCGGCGGCAACGTGGACAAGCACCGTCCCAACGGCACCAGCATCAAGGTGAGTGGGCAGCGGGTAATGGGTAATAGGTAATGGGTATTGGGTAATGGGTGACTATGACGTGACTCTTGGGCGACGGCGGGGACCTGGGACACGGGACACGATGGGGATACGTGTGCGTAGCGTGGCGGACGGCAAATTCCTGCCTCGCATTTCCACATAATTGTTCAATGTAGCGTGGAGTTTCCACACTGCTTAGTCCTACGTGAGGCACCCTCCGTCCGTCCGGCATTTATTTAATGGGACTTTTCAACGCCCAACTCCGGCCGTTGTCGTTCTCGAGTATGTGTGTGCCAGTGTGCTCTGTTGATTTGTGGGGGTCAGGCTTAAGTGCCCAGGGGTCCGAGTGGGCAGCAAAAGGGAAACTTTAAAGTTCGACCAACTTAAGGTGGAGGAGACTGGGCCGAGTCCTGTGGCGAAATTGGATTAAAGAAGTTTTTCTCTAGTGGAAATACTGAGTTTTGTCTGTGGAAAACTTGAGTGCTACAGTAGGGGGAGGTAGGACAATGATTTTCCCAGAAACTATCCAGATTGAAGTCGATGCAACAGATTGAGTTAAGATAAAGGATTTGTTCGGCGAATCACCAATTAAACGAGTGCGAGGAATGCACGCCTGGCATTGTAATAGATTTGTGATTCTTCTAAAACTTATTTCTAAATTAACTTATTCCCAACCCTGTCTTTCCACTTTCAGGCCAGTGTGGACGATAACGACTCGATTGGCAAGAACAGTCTCTACCACGAACCCTTCAATGTGAATATGTACACCAGTGGCGTGAATGGCTACGCCGCGGTTAATGATTTACAATGTAATATGACGCCCGACTACACAGGTGTGTATAGTGTTCTCCCTGCTGCTCCCCTGATTTCCCTTGACCACCAACCGAGCTCGGTAAATCCTTCGTCGCATTTCCGGTGGCTGGCGCGCGGAGAGCCGTAAAATATGGCGACGCCGGCCCCTAATGCAAATATATGTACATCTTGTGGCAATTTCCCTGACTAAGCACACTCTCTTCCCGCTCTTTCTCGCTCTCGTTTTTCCCCCCATGAACTCGCAGATGTGCCGGAAGGTGGCTATGCCGTGCCCCACATGCAGGACTACCTGCCCTCGTCGAAGGTGGGTGGCCCTGGTGGGCCCGGTGGCTATGTAAACGTGCGCCGCACTCCACCGCCACCGCTGAGCAGCATTTTCCCCCGACCCCCGACTGTGCCGCCGCCGCCCATGGAGAAGTACTATGCCACCACTGCCATCTTTAAGCCGCTCAAGGGACCGGGCTCGGAGCGCAGCGCCGGCAGCAGCAGCAACACCAACACGGTGAGCAGCGGCGGCGGCAAGAGCAGCCACAGCCACAACAGCGGACAGGAGCACAGCGGCATCTACGACGACGGCATGGGCACCATGAACTCCCAGTCCACCGCCCCCATGATCAATCCGTACAGCAGCGGGAACAGCTCGGCGGCGGCCGCTGCGGCAGCTGCTGCCGAGTTCCAGCGGGCCAGGACATATAACTTTCGCAGCTATCCCGACAACCTCTAGTTCGAAGCCTCGCTGAAGTTGGTGGCCGCGGCGGGCGGCGGCGTTGAGTCCGGCCTCGTGCCCAAGCGGACTCCCGCCGCCAGCACCACCATGCCGAAGAAGCCGCAGCACCTGAGCCTGGCCAGCAGCGCGGCCGGTGGCAGCGGCAGCGGCAACGGCAGCAAGCCCAAGTACAGCCTGACCCTGCACAACAACAAGCATGCCCAAGGAGGTGGCAAGAATCCGCAAGCGGCGACTCTGCGCGAAGGTCACCAGCAGCGGCAACACCTCAAGGCCCTGCGCCTGATGAGGGAGGCTGGCGAAGCAGGTGGAGCAGAGACGTCAGAGTACCGACGGCACAACGGCGGGGCGGGATTGTCGCCCGCCGAGGAGGCGGTGGGCGTGCACCTGAAGGCCGGTGGAAAGTCAGCGACTGCCAACGGCGAGGCTTCGAGCAACATGACGAAGTCCGGAAACGGAAGCACTGGAATGGCGAACGGTGCCATGAGGGCACAAAACAACAGGCTGTGGTATCATTGATGAAAGCCCCATATTGAATGGATTTGAGGTAAGTCGTTAAGATTTCTGTTTATATAAATATATAAAAATAAGAATACTCCTGGAAAAGAAACAATATATATTATATATAGCAACATAATGAAAATGTATCTTATTTCCCAAATTAAACCCTTTCCTTGGCACTTTCTTCATCTTTATTTGCAGCTATGAAACCCTACGCAGAACTCCAAACGAAAACGCAAACTCCACCAGGAAGCGGTCCCTACGCAGAGGTTAGATACACCAAGCTGGACCCACTCCACAATTGCGTAGAGCTCGGAGGGACCGAGAGCAAGGCACAAAGCGTCGGAACACTTAAACCCACTGAGCAAACGAGAAACGAAAAGAATCGAAACGTAACCAAGTCGCTTACCAATCATTTATAGAGTAGAGTCGAGAATATGCCAACGAAGGAGCGGAGGTGATGGGAGGAGACGGTGTCCAGAGCATCCTGTAAATATCCGAGTTTAGGAATCGGTCGGTAGTGAACCCCATGCATATGATAGTAAGCAAGCTGAATTTTAAAGAAAAAACCCCGGAAGCATCACGACGAACTCTCGAGCAAGAAAGCACACGAGCAAAGAAAATATTAAGACGAATTTAAGGTTTAGAATTTAGCCACATAGTTTGTTTATAAAACGAAAGGAAATAAATAAATATTGTAATGAGTAATGATGAGTAACGAGTAACGAGTAACGGTAGTAGCGATACGAATAACTAGCATATAAAGTTCAACTGATTTGTAGTACCTTTTCGAGAAGAACACTGAACATCTGCAAGCTAACTGTACATGCCTGTGAACCTACCCCTGACTAAGGCCGAACTATCTAGCCCCCAACAAACACGCCTACCCTCATACGCCCCACTACCGAAGCCCCCCACTGTAAATTTCTGTGTATAATCTAGGACAGGTATCGGCGAGATACATAGATTGTTTGCTAAATAGATGGAAGCGCCGCGTCTAGCAAAGTTACCTAGGGTGAGACGGTCGAGCGAGATAATGACGATGATGATGATGATGATAAAATTGAAACGGAATTTAACGGACCAAGATTGCGTGCAGAGCGACGTCGCCTAAACCAAGTAAAATGAAGTTTTCATCAATGATTTGTGATTCAATATGCAACTACTTATAGGCCCGCAGACGCGAGTATTCAGTTCTTAATGCTAACCTTAATTTATGGAAACGTACTACCCGCTAACAAATGACTCTGACTATAAAGCAAGCACTATGAATATTTAAATCGAAACAAACGTATTTATAATTAATATTAATGGATAATCATGTATATGTTCCTTTTTAGTTTAATGCGCATAAGTATCACCAGAAAACGTACTAAGAGTTAAACGTAGTAGCTTCATAGTAGTTTAATAAAGCAGCAGCTGCGCCAGCAGCAGGTAACTGGCAGCATTTTATAAACCAGGAAAATAGGCAAAACCATAGGCGAGTTGGAAATAGCATTAAAGGGTAAACCAGCCGAGGCACTCAGCAGCAACAACTTACACGGCAAATCGTAGTTAAAATAGTAGAACAAATAAGGAAACAAAGCAGGCACATACATTCACACACCCCACACACACACACACGGACAAGATATTTAAAATGTTTGTGCAATCTTTTTCGAAAGTTTTTAACAAAAAAAAAATAAAAATATAGTTACCAAAAAAACATAACAAAAAAATTAACGAATTAACGAGCTATAAGAGAAAAGTTACAAGAATATTTAAAGTATAAAATTAGGCTCCGAGATATGTCTGTATGTATTCCTCGACTTTCTGCACAAATTCTTCACTTTCCAACTTTCCTTTGTACTAAACGTTTGCCGAAGCTGGCCCCCCGATCCACACACTCAACACGCAACAATGCAACATGCAACATGCAACACTGATAAAGCACACTTTCCGCCACTGAAAAGAACACTATCAATCAAAAACGAATCACGAACCTACCTACAAGACTTGTGTAAATTAATATAACGTAAAACTCGAAATTAATCGGTTAGAGACTAAGTTAAACATACATTTTGTAAAAATTAATAAGAGTATACTGTAAAAAATTATATACTAATTGTAATGGTTATCCGTTCTTTTGGAAATCACGGCAAAAAACATTAAAGTTATCTTTTTTTGCGGTGTGCTTGTCAGTTGATTTCCATACTAGTTTAATTTCTAAATTAATTTAAATGCATTTATTGTGTGTACATTTTTCGAAGGCAAATATATAGTATTCAATTATTTAAACAGCAAAACTGATTTCATTGTTTTATTCATAATGGAATATAAGCAATTTTAATTGGGAGAAACGAAACAAAAGCAATAGTTCAACCTGCTGTATACCATAAAGCATTCTCTGTGACACATTCTCTGTTTTGTATTTCCTTGAGGAGGGCATCCCTTTTCATTGGGATGTTTTACTTCAAAGCAATCGAAGTCTCAACATTGTCAAGGCTGGGATATTTTTGAGGCATTAAGTAAACAAAAATACTTCTTCAAGATAAACACGTACCCATCAACGGAGTGAGTGTAAACAAAGGAGGTATGTTAAGACTATGGTTCCCGTAAAACTGGTAAACTCCAATTCATCGATCTGTCGGAGGGAGAATCCTTTGGGACCTTCCTAGGAAGTTCAACATAAGTTACTGTTTACATAGTCCAGAAGGCCTTTTGGTCCCCCAAGGCTTTAATCAGAGCACTTGCCTCCAGTGCGGATGGATCAATGACCGCTCATTTGACATCTGCTTTAATTCCACGCCAATTTCGATTCCGATTCCGGAGCGAAAATCGAAAATAACATGATTACGGCGCTGACCGCAAATCGACGACTGGCATTGTCGAGGGTGGGTTGGGAGCTCTGGGATCTCTCGGTGTGAATGCTTTTCGAAACGCTTAAATCAAATATAATAAAATAACAAAAATAAAGGGTATTGCTGCAAGCCGACCTTTTTTTACACTCGAAATTATAGCAATGCTTGGTGAAATATATTTTAGAATTTTGAAACGTATGTTTAGCTGGAATTATATATATTCACAGATATATTTTATAGAGTCAAAAGTATCTTTCCTTTCTTGGAGTCTAACAAACACCTCGCCCATGTGTATACCACCCTTTGGAAGGGTATAATACAATTTTCAGCCTTTCACAGTCGGGACAGCCCAAATACTTGGCCGCCTTTTAATTGACACTTTCGATTGTTCGCCACCGGAGAGCAATGGATGGATGGATGAAGGGCTGACGCACTGACTGACATCCATTCATTTTGTGGGTCATTCCAGCTGTCCCACCTGTCAAACATTCGCTGCAAAATTAGTTGAAAGCCATTTACGGAGATGGAATGAAAAAAAAGATGGCAATGTGTTCATTTGCCTCTGCTCGTTCTTCTGCCCTTGGCTTTTGGGCGCCTTTTTGTGGAAATGCGTGAAAAGTTCTCTCAATTCGCCGCATTGTCTGTCAGCTCTGTCAGTCGCTACCCAAAAGCTGAGTGTTGAACGATTTTATTTGATTTTATTCTACTTTATTTATTTTGATTGCACTGTTCGGTGCTTGTCCGTTGTTCATTTTACAGGCTTTCAATTTGTAACGCTCGTTGTCGTTTATCGTCACCCTGAATGACTTTATTTATCGCATTACGTGAACCTTCGAAAAACATTTGCCAAAAAAGGGTTTGTCCAGCTCTCATTGTGTGTTTTGGACAGCTGACAACTCGAGGGCCATTTTATCTGCCAATGGGACAAACTTGGAGGGCGTGAAGCGTGCTAAAAACGCGTGAAATGATTATAGATAAAAATTAAAAAATATTGCTGAAATACCCAAGGGGGTGACACTAAGTGCGTCGAATGAATTTTAATTGCAGTGAGGGTAAAATTGATAACAGACATTTTTAGCGAAATGGAATAATCAATCACTACTGAGGACACTCTAAAGACATTTTTATATTATAAACAAAATTTTTATACCCTTGCAGGGTATTATAATTTTAGTCAGAAGTTTGCAACGCAGTGAAGGAGACGTTTCCGACCCTATAAAGTATATATATTCTTGATCAGCATCAACAGGGGAATCTTTCTAGATATGTCAGGAAGAAATCGATTTTTTGGCCATTATTGCAAAATTTTATACATCATTAAAATTTTTGATTTTGATAAAAAATTGAATTTTCAAAATTTTTAAATGAAGTATGCAGATTTATTAATTGTAGAAAATCTTGCACGGAACAGTTTTCCGATTTAAAATTAATGCTATTTTGGCCGAGTTATGATATTTTTAATTAAAAAAAAATCAAGAAGTTTTTTAATATAAAAAATCCGATTTTATACTACAAAATAATATTTTTCTAAGTCAAGGAATCATTTCCGACCCCATAAACCATATATATTCTTGATCAGCATTAACAGGCGAATCTTTCTAGAAATGTCCGGAAGAAATCGATTTTTTGGCCATTTTTGCGAAATTTGATAAGGGGTTACATCATTAAAATTAGCAAAAATGGCCAAAAATTTTGATTTCTTAAAATTTTAAATTTGGTATGCAGTTTTTTTAAATTAATAAAAACTAACACAAAACTGCTTTCCGAATCGAAATGAATGCATTTTTGGCTTAGTTATGATAGATTTTAATATTAACCTGCAAGGGTATACAAACTTTGGCTGGCCAAAGTTAGCTTTCTTTCTTGTTTAACTGTCACCAAAATAAATATTGGTATTATAAATTATACAGATAATAATTTGAGTGTCCTTTTGAAAAATCAACTCTGCAAGTTCGCTTGAATGGGACTTACCGTCTTGGAAAATGTATATTCTAAAATAACCACAGCTTCGCCTGGCCAGTTTTTGTCGGTCTTGGCCTTTTTACCTCAACTATGCTTTGAGTAAGAATTTACTTAACCTCTAATCTGGAAAATAAATCAAACCAACTGCAGATTTTATGTAAACGAAAGCCAAGAGGGGGAGTGTTAGGGACTGATTTTAGCACATTTAGCAGAGATGTTAAACTAAATAATGGATTAGGCAGCCTAGGACATCAATGAAAATATTAGCACTGCACAAAGGACACGCGCGTGAGTGGGCCCCGAGAGCCTGGGCAGCAATTAACACACTCGAATCTGGAGTTACGCAAGCAGCACGCAGGACTTTGATAGTTAGATAAACAAATACAAGTGCCCGCCCACTCAGGTGGACGGAGGCCAGCAGACGTAGGAAGGACGTGTGGCAGGAAGCTGCAGCTGATAAGCTCTCAGGACGGAGCGAGGGGGCAATTCAATGGCGATAGAAATGCAAGGTAACATGCAAATTGACAGACAGGACGTTTGTCAGGACATGGGTAAACACAAACAAAAGGCAGATAGACCCCGATGGAGCCGAGGAGCGGTCGGATCGAAGGGAAATAGTCAACACATGAATTGCATTAGTTTCAGTGGCCACTTACAGATGGATAGACGGACAGCCACACAGACGACGACTTGACATTTTACTTAGTTTTTAGGCGGTGCCTATGCAAATAGGGCATCCTCCGGGGCATTGTGTGCGACGTGGCTGACGATGAACGATAAACAGTCAAATTGCTTCAATTTAACGCTTCACAGGGGGCAGAAAGCGTGACTAGGAAGCCTTGGAGGGGTGCAGATCATCGCATTGATTATGCGGCGATTCGTCCTTCCCATTGTGGCCAGGTAGCCCATAGCGCGTACACAGCATTGTTTCACTGCACCCATTGTTGACGAATGCAGTTGATCCTTTGTGAAAGTCAAAAAGGGTTCTGAAGGGTTCTGCCTCCTTTGTTTCCGGAGGTGAATGGGTTGTCAAAAATGGGTTTCCATTCATTCCAGGGTTTGAGTTGCCGCCGCCGCCCTTACATTCCCATTTGTCTCTGAGTCCCCCTGCCTGACATTTTGTAATTATGGAATGCCATCGAAGGGGAGCTAAGCTATTTAAGCGATTTGTTTTATTAAAACCCGTAAGCAAACAAATGTTTGCGAAATATTTTAGGGCCAAGCGGATGCAGCCGTTAAAAAAATTGTTAGTTGTGTTAGGAGATTTCTCATTAGATCCAGAAGTAAATATATTTTCGTGTAAGTTAAGATTCAAAGAAACAGAAATTTTGTTTTCTATTTCTTAAAATATTTATAAATAACCTTAAACATATACAACTTTTTATTCTAAAGTTTTCTTCGTGAAAACTTTAGTGCTTTAATGGTTTCGAGCTCATAAAAGTCATTATCCTGAAGCCTTCTTGTATTATACATTTTTATTTCACCAAGCCAGACATATTTATATGATAGTGGCCCTAACTACCCCGCAATGTAAGAGGTATTAAAAAGAAAAACATGCGAAAATCAGCACAGGTCGTACACACATCGTTGAGCGTCTGACTCCTCCTTCCGTCAGTTATCCTCGCACTAACGCTGAAAAATCTGTTACTCTGTTACCATTCGCAGCTCGGGGAAAAATTTCATTCCTTTCATTTCGTTTCGTTTCGTTAGGTTTATCCCTTTTATGGCTTGCTTGGGGATTTTCATTACTACAATGACGTCGTCAGGATTCGCATTCGCAGTTTGGCCATTGTTGGCTCCGCAGCTACTTTCCCGTTGTCCATGTTTATTTATAACTTGCAATTGTAATTAGGATTACTTTTTACTTATTTGCACAGTTGTTGGAGTGCCTGTGTAGAGGACAACAAGGACCAAGGACGAAATCGCGCCGCCGCCGGCATAAAAAGCATATTTCTTCATTTTTATGCCGCAGGCTTTGCCGAATACAGAATGGCGGGTATTAAAGTATTTGTCCAGACGGCTTAGTTGGGAAGAGTCCCTGGCTCAGACGGTTGCACTCGGAAAAAAATCTAGTTTGCATTGTTTAAATGGTATTTTGCAAATTATAAACATATGAAAATGAAGAGAAGAATGAAATTGGAATATATTCTATCTAAAATTAATTTTCAGACTCTTAATAATCTAAAATTTATTTTTTTTTTTTGGTTTGAAAGTTACCTAAATTCAGCAGAAATTTGAAAAATATTTTAGAGAATTATTTTTCCGAGTGTATACCTAGTTAATAGGATGCTTATGATGATACTTTGATAATGGCAGAAGTAGACCAGCTGATGTTGTGGATTTGAGGGAAGCAACTGAAGCCGGAATTGGAAGAGATGGTGTGAGTGAACAAATATCAGAGGAGTTGGAATAAGGAATTTGATTACCCGTAACCATCTGCACCCTTCCTATATCTATCTCGTTAGGAGGACACCTAAGACAAT